TCGCCTCGCTCCCTGCACCCCGCCGCCAAGCACCTGCCGGCCCGGCTCTGCCCGAGAAGCCTGAACTCGGGGCGCCTCTCCAGGCAGGCGGTGCTTCGGATGCCCGCACCCTTAAAGGAGCCGCGTCCCCGGAGCGAGGGAGTGTCTGCAAACTCTCCTTCGGGCTGTGCGCCCACACTCGAGGACACGGCGGCAAGCTGTGGGGGTGCTAAGGAGGCCAAGACCCTCAAGGGCTCCCTGGATGGCCGGCGGGCACCTCCTCCGGCACAGGATCCGGAGGTCTCCTTGTGGTCAGGGCCCGGGTCCGGGGGGCAACCAGTAGTGAGGCCTAAGGATGCCTGAATCGTCGCAGGACGGTGTCGATCCCCGGAGCACAACGCCTTGTGAAGCCCTCTTCCATTGGCCAGTTTTGGGCTCTGGGCGGGGTTTCCATCGAACCCGTCCAATGAGCTGAGCCTATACAAAGGGCCAGATGCGCGCACACCGACGGGAAGAAATGTGTGGATGCTCCCTAACCCTTGGGCTGGCCCTGGGTGGGGGAGGGGAGTGGGACCAGCGCCGTAGGGGGAGGGGAGGCCCGGTAGAGAAGGGGAGGGGCTAATGGAGGAGGGGCGCTGCGGGGACCCATCCCTCCCTGTCCGTCCCAGGCTCTGATGAGCCGCTTCCCGTTCACATCCGGGACGGCCAGCGGTCCCCGGGCACCTGCTGGTCGGGCGGACAAGTGTCCGAGCCCTGCTGGAGACAGCTCTGGGGTACCATGGTCCTGGGAGGACGGGACGATGGGGATGGGGGGGTTGCCCAAGTGTGCTGGGGGATGGCGGGGTGACTTGCTGTCATCCATCCTTCCAATCACTCATTTCCTCTTTTCCTTCCTTTCTTACCCTCCTTTCTTTTCCCCTTTCTTCTCCCCCTACACCGCTCCCTCTTTCTCTTTTCTTCCTTCCCTGGGTTTTCCAGCTTTCCCATCTGAGGCTGCTGGTTCCTCCAGGCAAGAACCGTGGGTCCCTCACCCCCCAGTCCACATCTGACCCCGTGCTCAGTGGGTGTGCATTCCCGGTGCTCCCAACTGCCCTGTTAGCATGAGGGGTAAAATCAGAAGGGTGCAAATCCTGCCAAAACTTTGTGAGTCTCTGCTGGGCTGGAGAGGGTCCTTGCCAGCAGGGCCCAGGAAGAGGCCTGGCTCTAGTGCCACTGTGACTGGTCGCTTTGGTCCATAGACTCAAGTTCTTGGCACATAAATGGCCTCCTTTGATTTGGTCAACAGAGTGGAAGTGGACAGAGCAGGGCCCTAGAGGGTTTGGGCTGTGAAACAGAAGGGAAAATGAGCATTCCAAGTCTCTTCCAGACTGAATTGCAAGGGGCTGTCACTCCTAGGCCCCTACAGTGAACCAGCTTTGGCTTGGCCTGGGATCGTACCCTTGAGCTGAGATCCTCAGCAGCACCTGTTCACTGAGCCCCCCGGCTCTGAGCGGTCCTGAGAATCTGCATTTCTGAGAAGTGCTACCGCTAAGCCTGAGCTTACGGCTGTGGAATTTTTTGGGGAAAGTGAAGACTGTGGAGGGGGAGAAACAAGACAAAGCCCCGTGCTCCATGTTGAGGCGATGGTGAAGACACGCTGACTGCAGCCTGGTTGCTAAATTGTACCCCGCAGAGAGAACTCCCCTCTGGTGGATGGTGGTGGTGTGAGGCCCAAAGCCCTCATGCTCAAGGGATGTGGGGCCTGGTGGGAAGGAGGAGGGCAGGGGATGGATCTGGGGTCTTCGGCCTAGAAGCCTTCTCTGAGCAGCTTGAATGGGTCCAGGGGAGAAACTACGGGAATAAAGGTGAAGGGTTGGTGCAGAGTCAGTCAATCCAAAGTCCTGGGGATGATTTTCTGGCTGATGTGTCTGCCCTTGACCCCACCTATTGGAACGGGAAAGCTTCACGATGGACTTGTCAACGATCTCTTCGACATGATGCAAAAAGTCTAGACAAAGGCTGGAGATTTAGCTCAGTGGTTCCACTGCCTGCCTCACAAGAGCAAGGTCCCCAGTACGATCCCTGGTACAAAAAACAAAAAAGTCTAGACAACAAGAGCAAAATTAGATAAATTGAAATCGTACATCAAATATATTGTTGAAATAATGAAAAGCAACTCACAGGAGAAAGTATTTGCAAATTTGCTTGTATCTGATAAGGGATTAATACCTGGAAGATCAAAAGAATTCCTATGTCTCAACAGCTTCCACTGTCTGACCTCAGGTTCAGAACCTTCTGCCTCCTGATCCCTGGAGGCCACACTGCTGACCCTGAGGGCCTGCCCTGCCCTGCAGCCCTGCTTAGCTCAATAGGAACTTCAGGAGACACCCTTAAGTGGCTGGGCCCTGGTTCTCCTGGGGTCTCCTCTGCCAGGCTCCTGGAGGGAGCCCTCTAACCCCTGAGGCCAGCATCTCTTCAGCACCCCATCTGGGGCCTCCGCTTCTGTTACGGCCTAACACATTCTGTTTTGCTCTCTAGCAGCCCAAGTGCCAATCCTACCCATGAGCCTGAATGTATAATGCCCCTTTCCCCCTATGTGGAGACAGGTGACTTGCTCAAACAGGCACTAGGCTAGCTGGGCCCAGTCCAGTTGATGGTCTGGGATCAGGCACAAAGTCCAGAACTGTCCCTATTTGCACAGTGAGTTGGACTTTGCTTTTCTGTGGCCCCCAAGGGTGTCCACTGCTAACCACCGAATTACCACTGTCATCAAAGAGAAAGACCAGGACTACCTCCAGCTGTGTCTCCATCACACTGCCAGGATGTGAGGACCATGAGGCCTGAGTCTCCAGCTCTGCTCCGGCCACTAGAGAGCTGGGAGACTGGAAGGAGAAGCAGTTGACCAGACGTGCTGCAGAGAACAAGAGACTGCTTGGTGGAGTTGATGTCCCCCACTCCCTGCAGAAAGGACCAGGGCACTAATTGAGAGTCTGGCATATAGCAGGCTGGCAACCTTTGGCCCTAACCTCCCACCTGGGGGACGATACACTCGTGTATTGAGCTCCTTCCAACCACAGGTCTGTGTTTATTTTAGGAGAGCACATTTGGTGCTCTGGGCTCCGCCAAGAGAGCAGGAGAGAGCTGCACAGATTGAGAAGGCTGCAGTGCCACCTTGCTAAGCAGATGTTCACCTCATCCCCAGAGCCCTAGGCTCCATTTGAGCCTTGGCTGGCACGCCGTTCCTGGTGCTCTCACCCAGCCCCAAGTTTTCTACACACTTGTCTTCTTCCTCCTCCTGAGCAATCACATCTCCTTCACATGAATGCCTCCCACTCAAGGCAGCCTGGTGGCCCCTGCCGCTTCCTTTTAAGTCCCAGCTCCTGGGTGGCAGGCAGCTGGTGACTCCATTGGAGGATGGGAGATGCTAGCTCAGACATTGGAGGATAAGGAGGAATTTGGTCTGGGCATGGTGAATTCATGGACACTACCTGGAGCGCAGGCCTGGGCTTGCACAGTGAGATTTGTACTCTTAGGGCATGTGGCAGGGTCTCAGTGGGCGTCCTCACTGTGCTGACGTCTCTGATGTGGGAGGCCAGCCAGGGAGGAAGGGCACCAGGACTTAGGGATGGTGCGAAGACCCTGCAAAGGAGTGGACACTAACCCTAACTTTAACCCAGGCAGTGTCCAGTAGAACTAAGAGGCCAGTGGGACGAGGGCTTCCGGGACGCCAAGCGATGAACAAGTGACCTATGCCAGTCGTGCATGGGGGGACTCGGAGTCTGCACAGGGACAGTTCAGGGCCAGCGGCTTTGGCCCTCTGATGCCCTCTCGTGGCCGTGCCGGGGACACTGGTGCTTTGGGGAAAATGACGAGGGTAGGGCCGTGGGGGTAGGCCGGGCAGAGCTGGCCTCGGTGCCAAGCTAGCCGGGACCCCTCCAAGGACACCAGGGCCTGAGCTCAGAGCACGCTTTCAGGGGGCTGTGTCGTTGTTACGCAGAGGACGAGCCGGGTGTTGACTTGTGCAGATGTCCAGTGAGCGCCCAGGGCCGGCAGGCACTTAGTTTGGCCACAAGAGGGTGCCAGGCCACGGTCTGGCGGAGGGGCGGGGCTGCCGATCTAACCAGGTTCCCCGCTCTTAACTGTGGCTCAGGTAACATTGGGCTCCTGATTGACAGGAGCTACAGACTCCACCAGGCCTTCTAAACTGAAGCCGCTTTAGGATTTGAAGAAGTGGATTACGCTGTGCGTGCGTGCGTGCGTGTGCGTGTGCGTGTGTGTGTGTGTGTGTGTGTGTGTGTGTGTGTGTTACTGGGAATTGAATCCAGGGCCTTTAAACTGGGTTACATCCAAGCACTTTAACATTTTTTCTATTTTGAGACACTCTTGCTGTCTCTAAGTTGCCCAGGCTTAGCTTGAATTTGGGATCCCCCTGCTTCAGCCTACCAGAGTGTAGAGATGTCAGGCGAATGGTGAGATTTGTACACTCCTAGGGCCTGTGTCAGGGTCTCAGTAGTTACTTGAATGAATGAGTGGATGGGGCCCCACTGGGCAGTGACTGAGCCTGTGTGGACTGAGCTGACCAAGTCAGACCAGCCTGGAGCTTGAGAGGGAAGAATGCCTTCGGTTCGAAGATGAAGCTCCACCTTTGCACCCATGGTCCTTGTAGACACTTGAGTAGTGACACACGCCACCGGTCACATCTGTGCACGTGGCCCCCAGCAGTCCTATATCGGTCACCCTCTCCCAGGAGACAGGAGTGGGGGGTGGCCCTTCAGAAGGAAGCAGGAGCACCGCAGCTGCTGTACCATGGAGGAGGGCCAGGGACACACAGAAGGACCACCGGAGGAGAGGGCGAGTCTCCTCTCCGTCAACCTCCCTGCCCTGGACCCAGACAAAAAGCCCGGGCCTGTTCCCCGGGCTGAGGGTTTGCACCTTTACCTCACCTTCCCAGGCGGCTCAAGTCCACCCACATCAGCTACCCGCATGTTCCTGGGGGGACTCTGATTCAGGTGACACTCTTTCCCCCAGTGTCAGCCCTGGGTCCTCGTCATGTCCCTCGACTTGGAGCCGCAGGTAGAGATTCTGAGCCAGGGACCGGCCCCGTGCACTGTTCCTTGGGATCTGGCTGTGCGGTCCGGGCACGTGGGACGTGACACTCACCCGGGTTACTCTCCTGCCTGCTTACTGTGGGCCCCTCCTCGTTCTCTGTGAGGATTTTCCTGTGACACCTGCCCAGGAGGGAAAACAACGGACTGGGAAGAGGTGCAGCTAATTGCACCAAGTATGGCTTCATTTATTTCCAGATGGCTGTCCCTGCGCCACTCATGAGGGGAGTGGTGGCTCCCCAAAGACACATCTGCGTCTGGGTCCTGGGAAAGTATCGTGTTATATGGGCTTCCTGTTCCCGCAGATTGGACTGTGGTCCCTGGAGGCGCTGCTTCTTCAAAGGGACAGATGACGGGTCCCAGGCGCTTTCAGGGTCCTGTGCCACAGACTGGTAGGTAGGAAGAAGGCTGCCGTCCTAGCAGGGACAATGACATTGACTGTGGCGGGCGGGAGACTGCTTTCATATGTCTCTTGATGTCCCCTATCAGTCGTGAGGCCGTGGACAGAGGCAGCCACCTGGCCTGGGCTATCCCCTGTGATCAGAGCAGACCATGCCACCAGGTTTCCCCAAGAGAGTAGGCGGAACAGTGAAGGACCTGACTTGGCCCTGCTGGGTCTCTGTGGTGGCCCCACAGGGCTGTGGATTTAGTTTCCTGTGTTTCCCCTGGGAGAGAGCCTTTCCTACTCGCAGCCTCTGTCTCCAGAGAAATAAAGCATACACAAAAGAGCAGGGAGACCCATTCATGTTTCTATTATTTCCTCATATTGGACACACCCCATTGACCTGTCTTCCTTTGTGCTGATCTCTCCTTTGCCAAATTCATTCTATTGTTAAGTCTATTTCCCAGGGCTTTAAAACTTCAGCTTTTGTATTTTCAGACCTTTTTTTTTTTTTTTGTGCTAGGGGTTGAAGCCAGGGCCTTTGCACTGAGCTAATCCTTAGCGCGTTTTATTTTGAGACACTAAAGTCACTCAGTGGCCTAAACTGGGCTTGAATTTGCAATCCTTCTGCCTCACCCCCACCCGGAGTGCTAGGATTAAAGGCATGCACCACCACTCACGTCTTTCATTGTTTTTTTCATTTTTCTTGAGTTTACTGGTACTTTTAAAGTACGCAGAACAGTTACATTCATCATTGGAAGCCTGTACCCTTACATGACAGATCTTGGTTCTCATTTTTGCCCCATACCCCTGCCCTCCCTTCACATCCTCCACCCTCCCCTATTTATAAAGACTTTGTTTCCATTTTTTCCTTTTCTCATATTTTTTCTTGGCCCTTATTTTCTTTCCCCTACACCTTTAGCCCTTTTCTTCCTATCTCACATTATCAGGTCCGGTCTTTCACTTTTAACCCATTATTTTAAATTATAAATACATTAATTTGATAGCTATCTTTAATGACTCAATTATAAGTTCCTGAAAACGAGCTGGGCATGGTGGCGCATGCCTTAGGAGACTAAGGATTTCTGTGAGTTCCAGGCCATCCTGGGCTATATTGTGAGCCTGAACTACATAGTGAGATCTTGTCTCCAAAAAAAAAAAGAGTTCCTGGAAATGAACTATTAGTTTTTGTGAGCTGAGCCCACTATGTGTGTGGATGTGGGAGGCAGTGATTGTTAGCTCCCCAGCACCCACTACTCTCAACACTGTACATGTACCTGAGGATCAGAGAAGAGTTTACCTAAACCCCAAGCCAGCCTGTGGTGATCCCAGGGTGCTCACTGGCTCCTCTGCCCTCTACCCCACCTCTTGGAGCTGCGTCTTTTTCTCATTTGCAAATCCAAACAGGAAGGCTGTCCCTGGAGTTTTTTTTTTTTTTTTTTGAGACAGGGTCTCACTGTGTAGTTGAGACTGACCTGGAACTCACTATGTAGCCCAGGCTGGTCTTGAACTTGAAGTGATCCTCCTGCCTCAGCCTTCCAAGTGCTGGGATTACAGGAGTGCGCCACCATACCCAGCTGTCCTGGGCTTTTAATGGGGACATCCAACCAAGTGTTCTGAGCAGCCCTGACCCGAGGATCTAGAGGAAGAAAGGTTCCAGGTAGAAAATAAATTCACCTGGAAGCTGGGCATAGTGACACACATCTGTAATCCCAGCACTTGGGAAGCTGAGGCAGAAGAATCATGAATTTCAGCCTAGCCTGAGCTATATAGCAAGATCTCATCTTTAAAAAACATCACTTGGGGGCTGGGGATTTAGCTCAGTGGTTCCACTACCTGCCTCAAAAGCTCAAGGTCCCAAGTTCGATCCCTGGTACCAAAAAACCCAAAAAACATCACTTGGGTTGTGGTCATTGAGCAGAAGACCATGTCTTGCTGATCATTCCTGGTTGATGGGCCTGGAGGACATCGCTGTGGTTGTGGAACGCAGAGGGCTAGGCCAACCAGCTGGCTGAGCTGGTTGTGTTGCGGGTTAGAGGGTCAGGAAGGGCCTGTTCTTGTTTTCCAGAGTCTGGTCTCTAACTGACCTCAAATTCTTCATCTTAACCTGGCCTGTCTCAGGCTGCCGGGGCCCCTCTAGCACCTCCCTGGGGCTGTGAAGCTCCTTGCCCTGCTATTTTGCAATTTGGGCTGAGGGGCCCTGGGGCTGGGGCTCAGGTTGAGTAATGCCATGGTGGCCTGCTGTCTAATCTCTTTACAACACTGTGTCCAGCAGGGCCAAGGAGGGAATGGGGTGGGCGGATGGCGGCTGAGCATAGGTCTTCCATGATCACATCACCTCCAGTGGCATCCAGATACTCGGGGGACCTGTGCAAGGAGAAAGGGCCACTGGGCACCCAGGGTCCTCCCTTGGGGTGAGCACACACACTACTTTGAAACATGAACTTGGACTTTGCTGGGAGCTGCTGACAAGTTCAGGCCGAAGAGTGTACCCCGGCCCCCAGGGAGAGGTCCCAGAGAGGGGACGGGGGGCCTTCTGCTGCCCACCTCTCCTGAGTTTGTCTCCCATTGTCCCCTGGTTGCTGACAGCCTGTTTTCTGGTCTCATTCCTAACCTTAACCCCTCACAGATTGAAGACACACTGGGTTCTCTTGCGAGCAATGGAGGGGTTGGGTCAACCCAACCCCTCTGGGGTCCCCAAATCAGATCTTCCAGTTCCAAGGACATCACAGCGGATGAAGATGGGAGGAGGCCTGGTCTGGGAACCAGGAAGCGACTGTTTTTAACCACATTCTCCCAGCTGCCCCTCCTGGGCTCCTCACAATGTCATAGTTCTTACAGTTCCTCTTCCCTCAGTCCCCTGTGCTGCTGCACAGGCCCCAGGCTCACTTACTGGGTTTGTAGGTCAATGCCTGGTCCCTCTGCTAACATTCACCCCATTGGTCTCCATCCAGAAGCTCTTTGCGGAAGACCCCAGGAGGCAGGTTGCTCCCTAACCACCCACTTCCTCTATCTGAGATAAGGGGTTCACAGATCTACCAGGAGGAGAGGGCAGAGGGACTAATGGTGAGTGGCCTGCCCCACTCAGAGCCTCTGCCCAGACCCCAGGATCCAGCTTCTGCACCCTCATCCAGGCCCTGACATTCCCCACAGATGCTGTGGCTGGTGTTCCTGACCTTCCCCTGCGTGGGGGCCTCCATCCCCATGACCCCTGGTGAGTCCTGACCCCGTCCCTACCCCCGGGGCTCACAGGACCAGTCCTGGGGCTGCCCATCTGCCAGAGGCCTCGCTGACTCAGTCCTGAGCACCTCCAACCATCCTTTGACCACCCCCACCTCGGCTTCCTCAGACCCCCGCCCAGGACGGGAGCTGGCAGGCATCATCGGGGGCTGCCCTGTCTCGGCCTGGAGGTTCCCGTGGCAGGTCAGCCTGAGGTTCTACAGCAGGCGCAGCCAGCGGTGGGAGCACATCTGCGGGGGATCGCTCATCCACCCACAGTGGGTGCTGACCACTGCCCACTGTGTTGATCCGTGAGTGGGGACATCGGTGCCCTTGGCTGGGTGCAGGGCCATCAGGAGGGAGGCAGAATTTCTGGGCCCTCCCCAGGCTGCAGGGGCAGCCTCAGCCCGTGTCTGGCCCAATCCCTGCAACTGTGGGGAGCTCAGCCCTCCCAGCCTGCAGGCCTCCCTGAGGGGCTCTTGGTGTCCCCCGCTTCCCCCCGCAGGCAGGAGCTGGAAGCCTGCACCTTCAGGGTCCAGGTTGGGCAGCTGAGGCTCTATGAGGATGACCGGCTGACGAAGGTGGCTCAGATCATCCGCCACCCCAAGTACAATGAGAGCCTGTCGGCCCCAGGGGGTGGAGACATCGCCCTGCTGAGACTGGAGGCCCCTGTGGCACTGTCAGAGCGCGTCCACCCCGTCTCTCTCCCAGAGGCCTCCTTGAGGGTCTCCCAGGGGAAGACCTGCTGGGTGACCGGCTGGGGTGACATCAGAATTGGAGGTAAGGATTGGGGACACTTGGTTGGGGAGAAGTCAGGGGAGGTGTCCAGGGATGGGGTACAGGTGTGGTGGAAATCCTTCACTGGGGTTTTGGGGATCCCCTAACGCTGTCCTGGGACTGCTGATACAAATGGCCACATGCACCCATACTCTCAGGGCTACAAGACCACGTCTAAGAGTTGGCAGGGTTGGCTCCTTTGAGGTCCTGAGGGGCTATTTTTCTTCCTCCCCTGGTGTCAGTGGCCCATCCTGGGGTTTCAGTCATATGACTGTCCCTCCATGCCCTGCCACATGTGACCCTGTGCGGCTGTGTTCTAGTTTGCCTCTGCCCATCTTTCCTAAGGATACCAGTCCCTGGATTTAGGACCCACCCTCACCCAACATGACTTGTCTTCACGTGGTCACATCTGTAAAGACCCTGTTCCCAAACAGTCGTGACCTCAAGCGCCAGGGCTCAGGATGTGGATGCATCCTTCTAGGGGGACGCTGTTCACCCCACGACCTGATGTACTTTTCACCGAATCCTCATCACCCTCTTCAAATGGAAGCTGTCCCTTCCCTTGTAGAAAAGAGAGCCTAGATCAAAGGTGGTTGACAGCCGGCCCAGGTCCTCTGCTGGCCACTTCCTGAAGGAGGGTGTGTAGGGGAGTCTTGTGTTTCTTCACCCCAAACCTATCATGGTACAATCTTGGGGGGTCTGCTTCTCCCAGTAGCAGCTCCTGCGGCTCCCAGGCCCCTGTTACCCTAGGAATGTAGCCTCACAATCCCTGCTGGGAAACTTTCCTGCTCTAAACCGAAGGCCAGGGAGACCCACATGGGGGAGAAGCAGGAATCCTGGCCTCCCAGCCCCGCTCTTACTCTTTTGCCCCTGCAGAGCCCCTTCCCCAGCCCTTCCACTTGCAGGAGGTGGAGGTGAAGGTCAGGAGTGACCGGTACTGTCAGCAGGCCTATCGTCATACCTTCCGCCCTGAGCACGCCGGCCAGCTCACCAAGGGGGACGTACTGTGTGCTGGGAGCCAGAACCGTGGCCCCTGTTTGGTGAGACCCCAGGACTGCACCCTCTCCTCTGCGCCTCGTGGCCCCAGTGCCAGCAGGTGCGGGAAGGGTCAGCTGAGTCCTGCCTTTCCCACAGGGTGACTCTGGAGGCCCCCTGGTGTGCAAGTGGAACTGCACCTGGGTGCAAGTGGGTGTGGTGAGCTGGGGTAACGTCTGTGGTCACTGTGCCCTCCCTGGCATATACACCCGCGTGATGAGCTACGTGTCTTGGATCCACCACTATGTTCCCCAATTTCCTGCGCCCTCCCCAGTGGGGTCCTCCTGAAGGAAGAGACTCCCCAATCTCCCTTGATACCTCTTCAGGGCCTTGCCCATCCCAGCCTCACTGCGTAATGCCCTGTGATTGTCCCCACCCTCCCTCCCTGATCCGGATCGTGGCTGCACCTCATCCCCTTCCTGCCCTCCAGGGAGAGCAGGGGAGGTCCTGAAGGCTCTCATCACCCTGGAAGTGGGTGTGCACTGAATGGGCATGGAGGGCCGGGGTCTGCCTCCTGCTCACTCTTTGGATCTCATTAAAGCTTACAAAGCAGCTTCTGTGTGGCCAAGTCACCCTGTCTCTGCAGGACACCCTCTTGGGGCCTCCGCCCTGGGGCTCAGGCAGGGCAAAGCTGGGCTGGGTGTGGATATGGGGTGCTCTGGGCCTGTGTTCAGGGTATTCTCTGCAGAGGGTTGCTGCAGGGAGCTCAGTCTGGCTTATCCTCCTCCACCCCATGATCCACAGTCTGCCTTGGCCCAGGTCGCGTTGTATGTTGTGGTGGCTTCCGGGGCTGGTAGTCGGGAGCTGTGTCCATAAACTGGGCGCAGTATGATCCGTGGTGGACACATCTGCACAGGCCTAAGGGACAGCCCAGGAGTGGGGCTCTGTACGTCCTGGGCTTGTCAGAGACTAACCAAGTTTGAGCTTCTGGCCAGGACAGTGACAGCAAGTCAGGCTCCTGTGGGGCAGGATGATGGGTACCACACGGGTTGCTTGGCAGGGTGACCAGTTCCAGGTGATGGGAGTCCCGTCTCCATTTGGAACTTCCCATCCTAGGTCCTGTCTGCAGTGGCCCTTGGCCTTTGAGGGAACTCGGCACGGGGCTCCTACCCTTACAGCCTGTTATCCAGGCATGCTGCTCACGGGGAAGCTCTTCTGACCTGGGTCCTGAACACGGCATCGGTGGTGGAGGCCTGTGCACCCCAGGGTGGTGATAAGCGTGCTCCTGGGGTGCCCTAAGTCCCAAGCTCCCACAGGGCAGGGCAGTGAGACCTGGTGAAGCCACTTATAGGGAGTAGCAGCTCAGGTCCTTCAGAGACAGGGACAGCATTTCCCTTCCCATTAGAGAAGGACAGCACAGGCCAGGCTGCGGGGCAGGCCAGGAATCACCTGTAAGCCACGGCCGACCTGTGGGCCATCCTTCTAACCCAGTTTATCCAGGGCCCCAGACCGAAGATGTCCAACTATAGGGTCTGTCAGGCCCCACATTCTGGGACAGGGCGATTCTTCTCTCAGGGCCAAGACCCCACCTTGCCTATCTTTGTGTCCTGTCACACCTGGGCCTTGTCCACTGGTCACCAAAGCGCTTGGCCCCAGCCTCCCTCCAGGGTTTCCTGCTCAGAAGCCTGGGTCTCAGGATGACACATGTGACAGGAAGTGATGAGCCAGACCAAACTGCTGGGCTGCAGGGGCGAGGGACCCAGCCACGGGTATTTGCCCCGTCTCTGCTGTCCCAGGGCTGGTCTCTAATGGACCTAAATTCCGTCTTCATAGGAAGGTACTGAAGACTCACCCAGGAAGAGAAAGGTCAGCTCCAGGTCCAGAGTGGAGCCCTGGGGCCCTCATCCTGTACTGTATCTGGGGCTGCAAGTGCCCCACAGCTCCATCCTTGGTGCAATGGGCTCCTCACTCTGCTGTAATTCTATGTGGGGTAGGCCAGCGGCCGGGGCCCGGGATTCAGCTTGGGTAATTCCACGGTCTAGTTAACCGCTTGCAGCAGGGCATGGGAGAGTGTAGGGTAGGCTGACGGCTAATGAGGCTAGATTTCCACAAGGGAGCCCAACATGGGATCTGAGGGTAGGGTGTCTCAGGGCCTCAGCGGTTTTTTGTGGGGTCCCATGAATACTCGCATATTTATATCACACTACTCTATATTTTTCACATCATATAAAAATTGGGCTGATGCCGGGTGTGGCGGCACACACTTGTAATCCCAGCACTCGGGAGGCTGAGGCAGGAGGATCGCTTCAAGTTCAAGACCAGCCTGGGTACATAGTGAGTTCCAGGTCAGTCTCAACTACACAGTGAGACCCTGCCTCAAAAAAAAAAAAAAAAAAAAAAAAAAAAAAAAAAAAAAGAGGGGGGGGGGGGGTTTACACCCGCGGGAC